GGGGGGCTGGGCCCGGCTATTGTCGCCTGTCAGCGGCCGCCCGGGCCCATTCGTCCCGGCCTTCATGGTCCGCGCTCCGAATTACAGACCCATCCATCCTAAGAGAGGGCAATTTTTGTCGCCCAGGAGGAACCGGCCGCACGCCCGCCCCGCTGCCCTGCCGTCTCCTTCCTTCTCTGCTCCTTCTCTCTCCTCCTATCTTCCCATTCTTTTTTTCTCCCTCTGTCTCTGTCTCCCTTTCTCCGTTTCTCTGTTTCTCTCTCTTTTCCTCTTTTTCTCCTCCCTGTCTCTGTGGCTCTCTGCTTTCTTTCTCTGCTTTTGGAGTATCTTTCTGCGCTCCTATTTTTTTTTTTGCCAGTTTCTCTCTGCCTCTTCGTTTCCTCCTGGACACGCACGTTCCTGGCTCGGGCCTGGGGGCCCCATCGCCGCCCGAGACCAGATGCGCATTTCTCACATCAATTTTGCGGAGAAAGAGAGCCCAGCGGCCTGGAGGCGGGACCCCACTCCGGTGACAGCGGCCACTCGCCAGCCCAGCGACAACAAAAGCCCGGAGAGAAACCCGCTCTGTCCGGGAAAGTGAAAGCGGCCTTAGCCCCCGCCCCAGCCGGCCTTGGGGCGCAGCAGACCCGAGAGAGTCCTTGCAAGATCCATACCTCTGCCCCAAGGGGAGTGCCAGGAGGTGGGGGCAGAATTTGTTAAAGTTGTCAGAAATTCATCCTAGCTCCCAGAAGCTTGGGCTTACATTTCCAGGTACCCACATTTAAATTCAGCCCGGCCTTGATACCTTTGGCCTCTGGCCCCCTAGTCCCCAAGGATGAGGCCCTCCGGGCTAGAATCAAAACTTGGGAACCCAAGGCTCCACCCGGCATCTGACTGAGTGATACCTGCAGTGCTCCCGGGGCTCAGCCCATTTTTCAGGGAGTGCAGGGAGAATGCCCTTGGGTCTGGGGTGGGATGCAGGAACTGCAGGGCAAGACCCACTCTTTGTTCAACACAAATTAATGTTGTACTGTGGTGTGCCCCCACATATACAGGCATTTTCTCCCAGCATTTCACGGCTCGTTTTTTACCCCGACCTTGCGAAGCCCGAAATCTGCTTCTCCCCCGATTTAGCAACTGCCTCAGGTTTATGGGCAAGAAGCGCCTCCTCCTGCTGCTTCCCCCTCGCCCTTCACTCTTAAGCCTGTCCTGAAAATCCCCCCCAAATCTCCAAGGCTGAGGAGACCGGCAAGAAGCAGCGGCAAGAAGCCCAGCCTGCCGCTGCTTCTCCGAAACGGGCCCACTCACTCAGACACGGTCGCCGCGGTTCTAGTAAAATGGCAAAGACTTTATTTATTGGAGAAAGAGGCCTTGGGTACAGTCTGAGGAGGAGAGGGCAAGTGAGGAGCAGGGAAGGGGTACTCGCAGCCCACGCACATCCATCCACCCTCCTCTGGCCAAGTCGAGTAGGAGTGGGGTGTTCGAGGTGGCAAGAGAGACCAAGAGCTGTGGAGGAGGTGAGGTGAGGGCTTGGGTCGGCCTCCTCTCTGTCTCTGTCACATGCAAAAAAATTCTAAAAAGAGTACAAAATAATTATAGGGCTTTGGGTTCTGTTTTCGATGGTTGGTTGGTTGGATTTCCCCCTGCATTGTCCCTAAGAGCCAGACTCCAACACTCAGTCCGAGGAAATGCGAGAGGGAGGGAGGAATCTTAAAAATAGCATTAGTGGGCATTAGGAGGCAGAAATGGCATCGAAAACAGACTTTTCTCTCAGAGGGTGGGAAGGAAATATCGATTTTGAAACTTGCAAGTCAGGACCCGGCTGCCCACCTCTTCCCTTCCCACACAAGGAAGAAAGGCAGGAGGAAATAGAAGTCAGCTGCAATAAGGCCGAGGGAGGCGAGGAAGGAGCGGGCCGGTGCATTCGCCACATGCAGAGAAAAATCAAAACAGCCGGAGCTGCCCCTCCTCTAGACCGCAGGGTTAGTGTTCTCAGCCCTGGTTTCTGCCTTGCCCTCAGCAAACCTGGCAGCCCCAGAGTTTTGAAAACATCGAAATCTCCGAGTTAAAAAAAATAATAAAAGAAAGGAAAAATCAGGCTGCGGTGGGAAGAACCCGCTATATAGGTTTAAATATTTATATAGAAGCCATACAGAATTGCACGGCGAGGGCTTCCGGGGCGGCGGAGGCCGCTGGCGGCGGCCGGCCCGGCCGGCCAGCCTGGGTTTATTGCTTCGAGAGGGAAGAGGCGGCTGCCAGGAGCCGAGTCCGGGGCCGGGAACAGGAGAGGAGGCGGGAGTTGGCAGAGGAGGTCCCAGCTCCCCTCAGCGTCCGGTCCGGGAGGTGTTGGGCTTTCGAGAGCTAGAAGCCCAGGGTGGCAGAAGACCCGGGGTGCCGCTCAATCGTCCACGTCGATCTCTTCGTCTTCCTCGTCCTCCGAGCAGTCCTGGCTGCTGGCCGGCTGGTCCGTGAGCGGAGAGGCAGGCGAGAGCTGCAGGGGGCCAGCGCCCGGGGCCTGCGGGGCGCCTGGGGAGAGGACTGGAGAGCCGGGCCTCGACTTGGCCCTGCCGCAGCCGCCGCCACCGCCGGCTGTGGCCTCCGAGTTCTGCTCGAGTTCGGCCAGCGCCACGATGTCCATCTGCCCGCTAGGGCCCAGTTTCTTGGCGGACTCTACGTCGGCCTTCATCTCCTCCAGGTCCCGCTTGAGTTTAGCGCGCCGATTCTGGAACCAGGTGATGACTTGCGCGTTGGTGAGGCCCAGCTGCTGCGCGATTTGGTCGCGATCGGCGGGGGACAGGTACTTCTGGTATAGAAAGCGCTTTTCCAATTCATAGATCTGGTGGTTGGTGAAGGCCGTGCGAGACTTTCGCCGCTTCTTAGGGGTCTGCCGCTGCCCAAAGATGGTCATCCCGTCGCGGCCTGGGAGGAAAGGACAGTGTAGGCTCGCGTTGCGAGAAAGGAAGCCCACCCTGGCTCTGGCCCCCATAACTCCTACCCCACCCAGGCCCCCTCCGGCCTGCAGTTTACCAATGTTCCCTTCTCAGATTTAATTCAGCCTCCAGGACCAGGGCAAGCTTTGGCTCTGGCAAACCATCACCTGTCTTTGGTCTCCCAGAAGTCCCTAGGAAAAATTGTTTTGGTCTCTGCCCCCTACCTAAGAGTTGGTTTGAAAGACCCAAAGTCTCTGAGTAGGAGAAAGCCAGACAGGGACACCCTAATTGTGGTGTGAATGTTGGTTCTCCATCCCTTCCCAATCACTTCAACTCTACCCTACCCAGAAGGTCCCAGCAAAAGACTCGATTCCCCACGCGGAGTAGCCGGGCTAAGAGCGTCCAGGACACTGGGAACGCAAGGGAGACCAGCAAAGCAAGCAGACTGCGGAAAGAGCTTGGGTTCCCGCCACCCTTCTCCGGCCACCCCCCAGCTCTGGCCTACCCAGAGGTCCCTAGGAAATAAGGATTGGGTTCCGTCCCACCTATCTTCACTCCCATAAAGCAGCTGCTCAGGCTGGAAGGCCCTGGCGGCCGGAGCGGGCAGAGGCGAGCAGAGACAGAGGGGACGAAGCGCGCAGGGCACAGGGCGCGAGGCGCTGGGTGCAGGGAAACCCAGCAGCTGCGCCTACCTTCGGCTGCCTGCAGAACGCTGACCTCCAGCCCCTTAAACGTCTTGCTGGCGAGCTCCTCCAGCGCGCACAGCGGCGAGGTCTGCGAGAGCAGCGCTCGGCCCGCCAGGGGCAAGCCGCCCGGCGCGTGCTTGTCCGCGGCGGCCAGCAGGTGCGCCGCCCCGCACAGCGAGTAACTTCTCCGCACAGACGGCTTGTTGAGGATGTCCTCGATGCTGAACGGCGTCAGTGGCTTGTTGGAGTTGGCAGGCGGAGGCAGGTGGTC